CGCGAGCTAGGCGCAGGTGTGGTCGCGCACGTCGGGAAGCTAGGCGCGCGCGTGGATGAGGAGCCATGCATGCTGGTCTCAGGAGAAGCATGCGTGATGGGCTGGGCTGGTGCTAGTACGACCGGGAAAGGCTCAGGGTCCAGCAAGAAGTCTAGGGACTCAGCAGGCTGGGCTGGTTGCGTGGTCGCGAACGGAAACGAATTTTCGTCGAAAATAACGTGACGAGACGTCAGAACTCGACGAGAATTGAGGTCGAGGCACCTGTAGCCACGGTGCGAAGATGGGTAGCCAAGGAAAACGCAGGCAGTGGATCGCGCAGCGAGTTTATGAGGAGCCGTGGCGGACTGGTTAGGGTAGCATAAGCAACCGAAGACACGGAGGTCGGAGAAGGATGGAGTTTTGTTGTGAAGGAGGGTGTATGGGATGCGAAACTCTACAGCTTGACATGGACGGCGATTGATGAGGAACGTTGCCGCGGCAAGGGCCTCTGCCCAGTATGAGGGTGGCATGTGTGCTTGGAAGAGGAGGGTGCGAGTGATATCGTTGAGGGTGCGCAAGGCACGCTCAGCTTTACCGTTTTGTGGAGACGTATAAGGGCAGGACATGCGAAGGTGGGTGCCGTTTCGAGCCAAGAACTCGACTAGTGTAGAGTTAACGAACTCGGTGCCATTGTCGGTTTGTAGAGAGACTATGGGAAGATTGAATTGTGTGCGTGCGTAGGCGAAGAAATTAATGAGGATATCACAAGTGTCGGATTTGCGCCGAAGGGGATAAGTCCACATAAAATGAGAAAAATCATCCACAATGACAAGGTAATATTTAAAACCAGAATTGCTTGCAACAGGTGAGGTCCATAAATCACAATGGATTAACTGAAAGGGAACAAAGCACACAGTTTGAGACCTAGAGAATGGTAGGCGTACGTGCTTGCCTAGTTGACACGCATGACAAACCATAGTGGACTTATTACATGGAATAGCAAAATCTTTAGCTAAGTGTGACATAGCGTCACGACCTGGATGACCTAAGCGGCGATGCCACAGCTCGGTGGGGGTGGTGGAGGCGACAAGTCCATAGGGCGATGGCGAGCTGGTGCTTGTATGAAACTCGTAGAGTGGACCGGGGCTACTGAAGCGTATGATCTCGCGCCGAGTTTGAAGATCCTTGATAGAAAAACCAAAGGGGTCATACTCCACGGAACAAGAATTATCAATAGTAAATTGACGAGTAGAAAGGAGATTTTTAATGATGGTAGGAACTACTAGAACGTTGTTAAGATCAAACGTGCGGTGGGGTGTAGAAATAGTAGTGTGACCAATGGTGGAGATGGGTAAAGAAGAACCGTTGCCAATGGTGACTTGGAAGGGAGGAGAATTTTGGGAGGGAGAAGAGAGTATACCGGGGTCGGAAACCATGTGGGAAGTGGCGCCGGAGTCCATCACCCATGGGCTTGGCGTGGTGGAGCCAACGTTGGAGCTGCTGGCGGTGTTGTTGAGGGCGGCGATGAGGGCGGAGCAGTCCCAGGCTGGGGCGCCGGTGCCGGAACCGGGGCCGTACGGCGTAGCTGGAGGTGGAGGAGCAGTGCCGAACGCCTGCCCATGCAGGGGAGCGAGCTGGGTCGTATACGCTTGATGGCCAGGAGGAACCCAGGTGGATGGGCCGGAGTAGCGCTGCATCTGCTGCTGGGGGGCGACAGGCCGTGGCCCAAGGACGCCAGGACCGCCAGAGGGAGGAGGCGGACCACCAGCGGGCCTCCAGGTGGGCTGCATCTGCTGCGCCTGGCCCGTGTAGGGGTTGAAGCAGATCCACGGGCCAGGTGAGTTCGAGAAGCCGGTGTTCTTGTTCTTCTTCTTCTGCCAGCGGCCATTGCCGCCGCCACCAGTGCCACCGCCGCCGCCACCAGTGCCACCGCCGCCGCTGCTGCCTCCAGAGGTGAGAGCATCCATCACGGAGGAGGTGGCGGCCGGGGACGTCATGGTGGAGGCTGGGAGGCTGGCGGCGGAAGCTAGCTAGGTTTGTAGATCGGAATTGTCTGATACCATATAAACGTATAGGGAAAGAAAAGGTTTGAGGGAAGACACGCCACGCAAAGGGGCGATCAGCTCAATATATATTGGCCTCGTGTACAAAGTCTTGAGAGCCAAGAAAGAACTACCGTGAAGATCTCCAACCGAACAGGCTCGGTGAGATAAGGTAGAAAAATAAACGTACACAGCTTATACAGATATGTCACGTTAACAGTGTGCATGAAAACATATACTAATTCCCTCAATATGCACACACCCACTTCATCAACTCCACTACTTTTATTTCTCTCAACATGCATGAGAGATACTATATTTATTTTATAATTATATATAATCAAATTGAAAAAAAATCTTTAGGCTCATATTCAAATTCAAGACAACCAAATCTCATCAAAATAATATATTGCAACCAATTCTTGCGTGTTCCCACCTCAACGCGTGGGGTATCATCTAGTTTTATCAATGGGTCGTGCTGGAGACTAAAACGGTGATGGATAGTTATAAAAGATGGTACCCTTCCTAGGATAAGAGAATTCTTAGTAGTCTCTTTCGTTTTCTCCATTTAAGAAGTAATTGGAAAATAAAACAACAAGTTTAAAAATGCATGACTGTCCAACAAACACTTTTGTTTGAATAAAGCTCCAAGTTCACTGCAAAAAAAAGTATAAAAATGAGTAATAAACTCCAGTATAGACTAGTAAAACAAATCAAATCCAAGTTGAACATGTAGCTATAAGAAAATGGCAAATCTAGTTAGGCCGTTATTTTGGCCCATTATAATTGTCGAAAAGAATCAAATCCAAATTAAGCATGTGACCTGAAGAAAATGGCAAATCCACTCAGACCTACAATTTGGCTCATTTATCAATATCAGTACTAGATTTATTCTTTGGCGAGCGCTACGCGTCATCCAGCGGATCTTTTTAAAAGATATGTCGCCTCACAAGCCACCGGATTAAACGCGGGGTTGTTGTCAGATTAAACTGCTAGCTTTGCAACAAGAATGATGTTGCGCCCAAATGTTTGCAAGAGAGTTCATGTTGCAGAACTTTTGCAATAGAGTTATTGTTACAGAAGTTGTTCTGCAACAGAGTTAATGTTGCGGAATTTTTTTTATCTTCACTTTGTATATGACCCTGCGAAAGAAAGTTTTGCAACATCACTCATGTTGAAGAAATGAAGGGGAGCCTTGGCGCAGTGGTAAAGCTACTGCCTTGTGACCATGAGGTCATGGGTTCAAGTCCTGGAAACAGCCTCTTACAGAAATGTAGGGAAAGGCTGCGTACTATAGACCCAAAGTGGTCGGACCCTTCCCTGGACCCTGCGCAAGCGGGAGCTACATGCACCAGGTTGCCCTTTTTTTACTCATGTTGAAGAAATCTTTCTCGCAACAGGGGTTTGGTTGTGGAAACGCTTCTAAAAACACGTGTCAAGTTGCATGAAAATGAAGTAGCGGAGGTTGGCTCCCGGCCGCCTGATCAATAACAGATCTGACGGACAGGAGGCGGTTGACGCAAGCGGATAGATCCATCGGGTGAACATAAGTGTTTCCCTTATTCTTTTAGCCGTTTCAAAACCAGATTTGAAATTTCACCATGTGGTAAGGTTTTTTTTGTCATGTCAATGTTGCTATTTATTTTAAGACATTTCCCAACTATTAAGTAGAAGGTTTTTCTTTTTGACAGGGTAATTAAAAGGCCTTTAGATTTGAAGAACAGGGAGTAACTCGTAGCTCACTCGCCAAAAAAAAAAGTCGTAGCTGTAAGTATTCTTAGTGAGCTGACTTTGGTACTCTACAGTGGCGTGAGTTTGGTGTGTGTGGACGTGTGGTGATCGTGGTGTTTCGGCAAGATGACTCGGGACTTTATGGTAAAGTAAGGCGCAGTTGCGGTGGGTGATGACGTTTGACGCTTGTAGACAACATCCATGGGTGAACCTAAGAATGGTAACAAATTGCAAATTCGAACACTATCTCATACTGTACCTTTTCAAATTAATAAGCTCTCGCTCCCAAATTCATTGAAACCAACAGCAAGTTCTTACAAGGTTCAAAAAGTGCCCCATCCATCCAACGTGGCAAACCCTCACACAACGTGTAGCAACCTGAATGAACTTATTACAAAACATGGAGCGCCACTCGCTCACACAACTAAAGTTCTAACTGAACCGTATTGAATACCGTGCATCTGATGATTTTTCAACCACATTATATATAATAAATGTCTTCAGAATTGAACTTCATTTCATAATATCTAAATTAGTTAGTCGATCCAATGTGCGACATGCACGGTTTCTAATTTCAAAGTGCTTTTTCTTTAGAAAATAAAATATATATTGCCTCCAACCTCTATATTGCGAATGCACACAACCCAATGTTTATTAGCGTGTCATAGCTACAAGGATTACAAGCTCAAAACAAAATAAACACACCATATCAACTTAGCATGGGAAAAAATTACAGGCTCATCATTCAAATTGGGACATTTTTTTGGAGACATTTCAAATTGGGACATAAACTCCCTCATAAGCCACCCTAATCGCTTGGCCCTAGCTTCCATTTGCTCCTTGTACTGAGGCGTTGTAGTAAAGCCCCAACACTCCAATCGCTTGGCCCTAGCTTTCATCTGCTCACATCGCAACCATTTGATACACAAGAACAAACACCTGCATAATAGATCACAGTTATGCCAACGATTGTTAAAAAAAACAGTTATGCCAACAGGAATTAGTGAGTGGAGAGGGTTATATACTCCACAAAACCATGTATTACAAACATGTGGCATGCTTCATGGTGGAGTTCTATCATTGGCCAAATATGTAAAAGCAATATGTTTTGTTTTCCACTCACAAAAAAAATGTTTTGCTTTCACAAAACATAAATAAAAGGATACAAAGTACAAAAGTATGGAAATTTTCTTATCCTACCTTTTTGACTTGGGTGCTTCCTCCCATCTCCTTCACTTGATCGCACTATCAAAAAGTTATAATGCTGATATTGGGATTACCCGGTTGCTTGTTGATCGCCTCCCTGATCGCAGCCTGAAGACTCTGCCCCTGCATGTGTGGATCCTTTTCTTCCATTCCACATGAACTGCATACCATCATATGAAAACAACTTTGCCTAAAGAGCCCGGCCCGCTTGTAAATGTTCACCTTGCATGCCTTGAGACTTCCCAGGTGCTCGATGCCATCAAGAACACCATCGGCATGCTGCACAGCTTCTGCGCAACACTCTATAGTGAGGTCCTCGAGCCTTGGCATAGCCCCTGCCTCGAACACCAGGCAAGGCACTTCATATGTGAAGACAAGATTCTTGAGGTTTGGGAACGTTGAACCACGGATAACGACGACGTCTTCTTCGGGAGCATGATCCCTAACACGCAATGTAAGGTGCACCAGTGAGGTCAGACTGGAGAGAACCTCAACACCAACCCTCGGCAGTGACACAAGTTGCATCTCCAAGCTTTTGAGATTTTCAAGTCGCACAATCCAATCTGGGACCATGGAGAAGGGGCAGTTCAGCACGTGCAATCTATAAAGATGGCGTGGAGGTGGGGTCCAATAAGCCAAGCAATCACCATTTAAGTGGTCTCCACTAGTGGTTAGGGATTGAAGGCTGCTGAGCCTACAGAGCGAAGGGAGTAGACAGTCTTCAAAAGCGTTAGTGAGTCCGGACAGGTGAAGCTTTAGCTCTCTCAAGTTCTTCAGATTACCGAGTTCCTTCAGGATCTCCAGATTTGTCTTCAGATCAACTTTTGTCCTCAGATTGAATTCATCCAGGAGCCCAAAATCTGTGATGTGAAGTTCATGCAAAGTACGGAGGGCTTCCATCCTGCCGATCCCACCAAACAAAGACAGATCTGAAGGAATGATGAGATGCCACAACATTGAGGGTAAGTAGCGAACATCCAGCCATGCACCATTTTCTCCACCGACGATCTCCAATATCTTCAGATGTTTCAATTTTTGCAATTGTTTTAGGAGTTTCTCACACTTCAAACCTCCAATCCTCAAATATCTCAGTAGGAACAAATTGCATATAGAAGATAGATCATACTGCTCTTCCTTGGTATCATAAACATCAAGATGTAGAACTCGCACGAGTTGAAACCTCGAGAGAGAAGGCATACATTGACCAGGGCCCCAAAAGTTAAATGACCTAACTTGGGCTAAAGCAATGCTCCCTACCACATGATTGCATTCTGAATTTCTGACTTGGAGGGATAGTCGGCGAACTTCCATGGAGCATTTCCTGGTATGTGGATCACGAATAATAGGGGATTCCTTAATTACAGTGATAAAGTTTTCTTCTGTGGACTTCAGTATGATAAAGTCAAGCATTAGATCATGCACTCGACAAGACAGCACATTCCCACAGTCATCAAACCTGGCTATTTGGATCATGTTTTTATTGATGAGCTCACTAAAATAACTTTCTGCCATCTCCTCTAGGCCAACAAAACCCTCGGCGACCCATCTCTTAACCAAATCATCCTTTCTTATTTCAGAATCTTCAGGAAATATACCAAGATATAGCATGCAGGTCTTGAGATCCAGAGATAAATAACTGTATCCAAGATTAAGGACATGTCTCATCCATTGAAAAGCAGGGTTTCCTTCCAACTGTAAACTTAAATAGTTTTGTATCATTTCCCAGAAATCCTTTGAATTTACCTCCTTATGATTAGCCAAAAGGCTGGCTACAGTCAGTATGGCTAGTGGAACCCCTTGACATTTCTTTAGAATTTCATCAGAAACATTCATTAGTTTCTCAGGACAAGCATCTTCAGAGGGGAAAATCCTTCCATGGAATAATCTCCTTGAGTCAAGATCATTAAGAGGTTTGAGCTTCTAAACATGGCCATGTGAACAAGAACATGCCTGAGCTACATCTTCAATACGTGTAGTTGTTATAACTCTACTGCCATTATTATTCTCCATCAAAGAACATTTGATAATGTTCCAGGCTTCCATTGTCCATATATCATCAATGACGATGAGGTACCTGTCAAACAATATGAAATACGATTTGTCACACTAATAGTATAGAACCACAGCAGGATACCACGGTATTATCGCTCTTACATATGCTAGTTAAATTTGTGTAATTACAGATTGTTAAAAAACAAATGTGAGTGAAAGTATCATCATTAACTTCACATATATCTAAGAACCCTGTGCAGAGCCCGGATAGACCACTGGAATTTTATACGTGCAGTTCTCCTGCATGGTTAAGAAAAAAAAAGACCACTAGAATTTTTCCAGCATGCATGATTGAGAAATATACAAATAAAAAAATGCGGCCCGATGCAGGTAGTTCCCTCTAGCGCAGGTCCAGGGAAGGGTCTGACCACTTTGGGTCTCAATTGAGAAATATACAGATAAAAGACTCGCAAAATTTCTAATAAATATTTCTAATTGCAGCTTAGTTTGAATCTTGATTACTTGTAAATTCCACTTGAGTAATTCTGATCAGAAGTTACTTTGTATACAAGTTTGAGACTTAAATTTATATTTCTCCAATTTGGAAACATAAATGACAGTGAAGTTTAGGCCTCCACTTCTAAGTAGTGCCTTCTGTGCTCAAAGTCTCAGACCAAACTAAAATTTGCTTTGTGTACTAACAAATCCTATCTCATACGGTGGTGCTCTCTGGTGGTAACGTCCCACATTTAGTCTAGTTGGATACGTCATATGGGTATACATATCCTTGATCTACAACATTCACAAACTATTGGTTTCAGGATCTAAGCATGCCATGGATTTAAGTGGACTTTGTTTTACAGAAAGGCAAAAATGACCAAGCCCAAGTAGTTCGATAAGTCAGAGAAGTAACGGCATGTCTGAAGTGTCAACAGAGTATGGGGCCATGCAAATGTAATTGCGAACCAGCACAGATAAAGAAGTGATAATACTTAACTAGTCAATTCTATGGAGGTTATCCAATTACGATGTGGCTATTCATACATAGTAATCATTTGTCATAGCTGATCTAGTCATAGGAGCATACCTTTTGTTTTGGAGAACTTCCCTAAGTTTGTCGATCAGTTGGCGCTCTTCATTCAGGAAAGAAGGCACCTGCCCCCAAACTCCAGAGAGTATATCTGACAATACCTTGATAAGACTGGGATTTTGAGACACCGATACAAAGGCTGTGCAATCAAATTGGCTTTTGATCTTATCATGAACTTGTTTGGCAAGCGTTGTCTTGCCCATGCCTCCAAATCCAACAACTGATACCACATGAAGTTGTGGTGCATTCTCCTCCATCCTCAGCAACTCGGTAAGCTTGTCCTTTGGGCGATCTATACCTACAAGGCTACTGGCCTCGGTGTAGAGTGCCTGTACACGAGGGTCAATAGCTTCAGGGCCCCGAGAAGAACCAACATGCTCATCAAGCTTATATCTATTGTGACGATCGCTTGCTTCCAAGACCTGAGCCTTGAGTTCTTCAATTCTGTTAGCAATCTTGTAGTGAGCCTTGAGCTTCTTTAGTTCACCCAAAAGCCCATCCTTGGCATCAGCACTATCAAGATCATTCATGAATATGTCGATGCAGTCTTCCATACCATAAGATAGCTCACGGACCTTGTCACGCCAGTCCTTCTGTTGCTCATCGAGCTCGTCGAACCTAGACAGCTTCAGGAGCAGAGCATTCATAGAGCTCATCTCATCTTTCAAAGAGATGATCTCCTTCTTCGCATCTTTGGACAGCCTGTACTTCTTCTCCAGCAAGGCCGCGAGCTTGCTTAGGAGTGATGACATCGCTCCTGTCATGGCAACCGCTATCACCCCCTCCATTTGTTGCAGGGTCTTCTTTCCCACAATCAAGCAATCTAAATAGCCTTATGGACTGTGTGTGAGGCTTTGGGATTCGGGAGAAGGGGATGTCAAGTGGTATGGGAAGAGGCTGGTCATTGCAAAGCAGCAATGTATATAGAAGTGGAATTCATGAACTTCGAGTATCGGTCAACCATGTGAACGGTGTCTAAACTTGATTATCCTTGTGACGAGGTCCAACCTTTGTACCAGAACTGGTTCATGCATGTCACCCTCGCTTGAACTGATTCCATTGGTGTGCCTGACTACCAGTATTGTTTCTAGGAATAAGAAGAGAATGTGGATTGGCAAAAACTGCATTCTGCACCAAGTGTCAACCAATCATACGAGGAGGTTACCTTTCTTCCAACCGACTCCACTTTTTTTTAGGAAATGGCAATCTATTCTTATAGGAAGATTCCTGGAGTGAGTTGCATACTATCACAAACCAGATCAGCTGAACTTCTAGGCAACTTCACCATGCATAATGGTCTCACTCCTGGAACCAAAATCAACATTTGCCCTTGTCACAGACTTGTTTAAGGAATCCTGGGAAGAGGATAAGGGTCTACGACAGGCTAAGTCAATTGGGAGAAAATGAGGGAATGAAGAAACCCATCAATCAATGCATTAGGTTGCTATCTCTCTCTTTTCCCGCTTGAAAAATAAGGCTAAAAGTTGACCTCTTCTGTAGTTGCACCATCTTGATACGGTGCTGTGAATAAAAAAAAATCATCATCTTGACAATGTCTCGAGAAAGTTTTTCTTTTTAAGTGACAAGTCAAGTCGAGACGCCTTCCAACAGGCTAAATCTGACTAATCAACACTACTAATCAAGGGGATTCATTAAATTTGACTAATCAACCACTACTAGACGAGGGGATGTATGAACTTTTCATGCAACAGTACCTGGAACAAGGTATTCAAGTCGACAAGTCGATTCAAGACACCTCCCAAACAAACAGTCTGACTAGTTGGCGGCTAGTTAGGACTTAGGCCACTAGATTAGACAATTTACGAACGCAGGCTGCAAGCTTTCAAGTTTCAAGTCATTTTTACTGCATATTCAGGAACCCTTTTAGCGGGCAGTACACCTATAAGCGCACTCTTAGTGCCACAAGATGCATGGCTGATATACATCGCTCCAGCTAGATTTTTCGCCACTTCTAACCTTGATTTTGCACTCTTTTCTTGGGTATTTAATTGTCTGGACTCAGAAACTAATTTCGCATGCCCTATTTTGACTGTGGAGTGTGGACCATAGGCCACCAAGTCTGGCCAGAACCAAGGTGGAAATTGATTTTTAAGAGGATATCAATTTTGTCAAGTGTCCAGGCCAGAGCTGCTCTATGTATGTAAACTAGGTGATGGAAATTAGTCAGCTGATATCAGGAAAAAGGAATGCGAAGATTTCTCGTACTCAAAATGAGGCTGGCCATGCTCTCACTTTGAGAGTCCGGTCGCAGCAATCCACTGCATGCTGGCTTGGTAATTACTCACCTGAAGTCAAAGTACCTGTTTGGAATGATTGTAATCTTTGATTGAGCAAGGAAATCCCTTTCCCCGCAAAATAATAAAAAGGTGTGGCAACTTCACAGGGGAATTGGGCTGTAAGTAAGGGTGTATCTCAATTTGGTTGACTGCGGGCTTTATCTTGTTGGAGGCCAAGCAGTCTCTCGTGAGTAAGATGTTGTATTGCTGGATGAATAATTCAAGGGTCAGATTTGAGAAACAGAATCTCTCTAGAATGAGAAGTAGGCCGTGAAATCTCCAATCATGATAGAAATGGGGACAACAGAATGGAACTACAGAGATGTAAGGTCTATTATAGTTTGATTCTAGTTCTTCTCAATATGCATAGCTCGAGTAGCAAAGTTCAAAATGAACACTCGATACTACCAGTACAAAACTAAAACCAGACACTGCTGTAGAGGTAGCCAAGCTGAAGTTAGTTAGAGATCAGACACTCTCATATATTAAAGTCAACACTGGCAAACAGATCTCAGTCCATTGTTTGGTAACTACTAACTAGTGCTAACCATGGCGGCGAAGAAGCCTACATGCCAGTCTTAGTGCCTGTTATGCCAGGCAGTCTATGGAATTAGTAGTTTAGTAGTACACCTTTTTATAGAGATTTTTAGTCCATCTTGCGCTGAGTTAGTGAAACGATTAAATGATTGATGTGCTGATATGATGCAGCATGGTTTCATTGGAAAGTCTCATATCCAACAACCATTGCTCTGGGCTTAGTTTATGTAGTCCAATCGGTTTATATATCTACAGATAGACAAGCCAATCACATGTAAATTTCGCACTAAATCGAAATTAGCTGTCAAATAAAACATATCCAGCCGATGTATAAAAAAAATCTCCATTTCATTATCTGTTCAATCAGCTGCCCTGGTGGTGACAACCGAGCAGAACCAATCGAGAAGCAAACAAAAGGTTGAATTCATGGAGTAGGCTTTCAAGTGGTTAAATATTATCTATTACAGTATTATTTCCCCACTATTTATTTTGTTTATTATTAGTCCTTTCTATACTGAAGTATGGGACTGGAAAAAATGTCAGTGGTAACAGTTTCCGTCTTACCCGAGTGGCCGCCGGCGCCCACTCCCGCTTCCTTGCTCGAGCGTCGCCGGCGCGGGAAGTCAGGACGGGCAACGCATTTTCCGGCGACGCGCGCCTGGCCTCCATCTCCCTCCTCCCCCGCCATCCACGCGCCAAGAGCTAGCCCTCCACTCCGAGATGGCTCGACGGTGAGAAACCGGGGACGGAGGAGGGGCAGGACTCGCCTGCCTCGACGGGGAACGCGGCGGAGGGCCGGTCGGCGGTTTTTTTTTTTTTTTTGCGAAATCCGGTGGATTTGGTGGGGTTGGGGATCCACGGGAGGAGGGGGGCTTAGCCCCGGCCCGCTCGACGAGATTATTACGCTTTCTCTATCGGCCCGGTCCACCAAGACACACGAAGCGGCAACGGGCCTCCATTTCAACCATCATTAAATCCTAAAAAAGATCAACATCATTCATCCCAAAAAGGAAAAAGAGTTTGAGTGATCCCCGGCCGGCGGTGCGCAAAAATGCTAGACTTACGTAATGCTGTTACGTATCCTACGTAATCCTTCTTTTCCCTAACCAAACGCCCTCCCCCCTGATTTTCAGGGTGGGCCCCAGCCTCCACTAATATCCAATTGAAGGATGCCAACTCATTTCATTCGTAAGATACGTAAAAATATTTTCGTAGGTGCGTACGTGCACGAGTCACCTGCGAATCCGCAACTGATGTCGGTTAAGCAGCTGTGGAACGCTCGCTGGCCATCAAGAGATGATCGATCGTGCTGTGCCACTCCATGCCTCCATCATCTCCATGTGAAACTCCTGTTCCCGTCTCGTGGTCCGTCACATGCATACGCAGCACGGTCGTTGCAACCATCGACAGAGCCTGCCATCAATCATGCTGATCATCAGATTAACAAATGCGCAAGTCAAATCGCCACTGTCCTCTTCCGCTATAAGAAACGTGATGAGGATGCCAGTTCGTCCCATCCCTCAGTTCCTCGAATCTCGCCATGAAACCAGACAAGCAGTCGAGCACCTGCCTGCGCGCAGATGACTGACCCAGCAAACTAGCAAGAACTTCCGCTGCTCGGCTCGGTCGATCTACTGCTTGATCCGGGCCGGCGATGGAGGGCATCTTCCCCTTCTTCTGCTCGGCCATCAGGAGGCGGAGGCCGAGGCCGCCGGACCGCTACGGGCGCCTCGCCGTCCCCGCCGGCGCGGCGGGTGGGCTTGGGCGGGAGCACGAGAGCTTGGCCGGCAGCGGGCACTACCAGTACTCTCAGAGCTGCAGGTTCCCCGTCCGACGTCCCGGGGCGGACGAGCTCGGCCTCGGCAACGACGACGACCGGCCGCCACCAGAGGACCTCTCCGGCGAGCTATCCCCGGCGTCCGGCGGCCGGGACGGCGGGCGCGGGCTGTCCAGGTCCAGGAGGTTCGGTAGCATGCGCATGTTGGCGTCGTGTATCGGCGGCCCGTGAGATCAACGCACCGCTGCTGTCTGTACTCTATAGTCTAGCGTGTGTGTACCAAGGAAGAAATTAATCCGTACCGCGCACTCGGCAGTATTTTTTTCTTTCTTTTTTTAGATCTGGCAGTTTTTTGTTTTAACTTTCGCGCATTGGGCAGTTTTCCACTCCCTCCAACCAAGCTTAGGTTTTGGGTACCGAGCAAACATTGACAAAAGGCGTGAAATAAATTCAAACAAATGCGAGCGCCCAACCATACGTTGGTAGTCGCCTACCCAGGCAATCACCCTCTCTCATGGACATCATTTATTCTTTATGTTCTTCAATTGTGTCCAACTTAGGACAGGCTCGTAGGAGGACAGCGGTATCCCCAGTCCATCAGGATTTATGTTCTAAACTTAATATTGGTGCTTATATTTTTCTAGATTTATTATTTCAGACTTTTCGGCGGTGTTCGTTAAATGGAAGGAGATGTTTTCCTCGACTATGAGGTGCGTTTGATGACTTTGTCAATCTTAAGATGATGTGCCGGTCATTTTCTTGGAGCGGAGGTGCTCAGTAAGGATAAGGCATACGTGTGTGTGTGTGTGTATATAGGTGTATATATGCTCGTGTATGTAGGCGACTTCGATTGTATTGTATTAAAAGAAACAGTGTCAATCTTTGGCATGACTGAGTGAGCAACACACACTATAAGTCACCATGCTCCAAAGCGGTAAGTGGAGGGGAGGCAAATCCACGAACTCGTAGATAAAGTCTAAAGGAGAGAGTTTATCCTAGCCATCTAGGATTAGGGAAGAAAACAAGAGGAATTCTTCACATAACAGATTTTAGGTTAATTGGGTTGACCTTTTGTGTCGGTGGTTTGGCACATATAGCTGCCATGTTTTTAGGCTGAAAATTTAGATGTGAAAGTCAATCCGTTTTCACTCGAACGTGAAATTGACACTCCTTCCAT